GAAAAGAATGCCGTATGGAATTAAAACTGTAAATGCGATTATTCAAAGGGGTCTAGCGCAAGTTATTGCTAACGATATAAAAAATACAATATGCTACATGGATGGCATTTGTGTTGGTGCTATTACCGACGAAGAATTAAAATGGAACCCGAGTATGGTTTTGAATAAGTAAAAAATGCTGGAAAAATTAAGGAAACAAATGTATGCACAACACTAAAAACAATATCATTTTTTTTTTGTTATATTCCATATCAAACGAAGGCATATCACCAAACCAATCGTTAATTGACAAAATATTAAACGTTGAAGTAACTAAGAATAAAAAAAAAGAATTGGAATCTTTCTTAGGACTTGTAAATTTCTACTGCCGATACGTAGAGCGATATTCCGAATTCTTTTGCTGCTTTAAGAAAAAGAATTTGGGATTTATTTGGACAAAAGAAAAAGTGGCATTTGAAAATTTAAAAGATCTTTTGGCAAAGAAGCCAGTAGTAAAAATATTCAAACCTAGAAAGGAAATACTCGTAATAACTGACGCAAGTGAACACTCAATTTCGGGAGTATTCGTTCAGGATGCTCAACCTAATATGTATATTTCGAGACAACTTTCAAAATCCCAATTGAACTACTCCAATATTGAGATAGAAGTATTAGCCATAATATGGACGACAAATAGAGCCCCTCAGTTTTTGATTAGAAAGAATTCCTACTAATATCCGAACATGGATCTTTAGAATTCATATTCAATCCTAGGAAGGAACTTCCTGAGGTAAAGTCTTTCCGAATTCTAAGATTGACCTTAATGTTAATTGCGTTTGAATTTGATATTGAGTACCTGAAAGGCAATATCATTCCGCGTGTAGACGACTTTTCGAGATTGAGGTTTGTTACCCCTGAATGTGAGAAAGAGGAGGAAAAATTCGGAGATATTTTCTTACACTGAGTCGAAATATATTTTGTCGATAGACAAATTAGCTGAATATAGGAAGTGAGATCCTATATTGAACAGTATATTGTGCACGATAAAAATAGACTAGAATAATTTCTTCACGTGCAGAAAGCGTTTTTTTAAAAAGGTTACAAACAATTTAACTGTAGATAAGGGTGTCATTTGTAACGGAGTCCTAGTGGTTCAGCCAGCAATGCAAAGGAGCAAAATTATAAAAAGGCATAAATGATACAATGTTTGTTGCAGAATAACGTCTAAGGAAAGGATATGAAGTCTAGATGCACGGTGGCCAGGCTATTCTAGAGAAGGAGAAGAATAGGTAAATAGATGTATAATGTGCATTGAAAGGATATGATTTATACACATACCTGACATAAAACGTCCCAACTTTTGAGATAGAGTACACAGGGATCATGCCCATGAGAATGGACTTTTATTTAAATTGGTAGATTCGTATTCGGCCAAAATAAATACAGGTTTCCAACAAAGGAAGTTCGACCGTGAATGAAGCGTTTAGAATATTTTCAAGAAATGGAATTCCGTATAATTCCTTCTGTGACGAAGAATTATGCCAATGGCTGAACAAAATTGGATGCAAAACTTATAATTCCCACCCACGTACAATCGGCACTCAAATGGATTAGCAGAAAGGATGGTGAAAACTTAAAAAAAAAAGAACGGGCTAAACATACGTGTAAAAGGGAAAGAAAAGATAGAAACATTTCTTCCAATGCTAAGTTATAGGACAATATCACATGCAGGATGACAGTACAGCCCATCCGCCCTCACGGATACACAAATTAGAGTCCCACTGACCACGTCCTATGCCACTAGCGAAAAACTATGGTATCAAATGTATAGTAAGTATAATCTAAAAGACGCAAGATTCATAATGCAATGTGGACAGAACACTATGACAATAGGCAAAAATGGGAATGTGATATTAGAACATGGTGATCGTCAGATTGCAACACGATAGCGATGAAGAAATGTCTAGTGAGCCTGAAGGACATGAAAGCTAAATTAAGAGAAACATAACAGTGAAATTGTGAGTAATATAGACACGGAAAATGAAAAATCGTTGGAGGAACAGTCCTTTGAAAAGAAATCACGATCTTTCATATCTAGAATATCTCTTAAGGAAAGGGAGAAAGATGATGAGGATATAAAAGCTCCTAGAAGAAGTACCTGGGTAAATAAGGCGATAAAATCTCTTCTGTACAAGTAGATAAGGTGACGTATTCATATATGAAGTCACAAAACCTATAAATAACTATGGCTATTACCCACGAGACAGTTGTGTGCACACTAATTACCGTTAACCAGTAACACAACACAACACATCACAACACCACAGAAGTAAATATCAGCTGGCCGCGTACATTATAATCTTGTGAATACGAAAGAATTCAAGAAGGAAGCAGGCATTTTCACTGGTTTCTTTCTTATGGACGGTGAGTATAAATTTAATGTCCATTTTGTTTCCTTTTAAACAGATTTTCTATTCCATGAATTGTTGTATAGTAACATATTTATATTTCCGTTTTTTTAAGACATTGTTACATGTCTAGAATTCAAGATACATTTTATTGATGTAAAAAAGAGATTTATTTAATTCGAACGAAAAAAAAAAGACAAATAATCTAGCACCCAGTGGGGAGTAAATTGACAAACAGCATTTGTATTGTCGACGAAATTCATGTCGAAAGCTAGAATAAAAATCTCAAGCCGTTCGACAGCATTTACAATTCCCTTCATAACTACGACAAACAGTGTTTGCACACAAGGCAAAAAGTAAACAAGAATACTTCTTGTTAAATTGTTCGCCCAAATCCGACAAAACTAGGTCTTTTTGAATATAGGCGAATCGCGTGTGATAATCTTGGAGAAATATTACAAGTATAAAAGGAAATTGAAAATAATTAAATTTCCACGCAATATGCTACGTATGAATTTAATACGAAATCTATAATTCAATTTAAAGCCCAAAAAGGGAATAACAGTGGCGGAATAAATATTCATTGCCAAGAGAGAAATAGGACCCACTCACGACTAAAATGCTATATATATATATATATATATATGATTATGATTAAGAGAACGAAATCTCAAAAGACCATGATGTTATTTATTTCGTTAAGATCGAGAGATCTCAACTCCTCAGATTTAAAATTGGGGGTGGAGTGTTATGTATTTAGACAGGAAGGAGGGAACAGTGAAAATGTTAAAAACCTGAAAATAAAAGAATGAGGGATTTAGCTAAGTTGTATAAAAAGACATATATATCTTTTTATGTTTTCATTTTCAAGTTTTGAATATTTTCACTATTCCCTCCTCCCTATCTAAATACATACCCTTTCTTTCCCTCCCCTCCCCCAATTTTAATTCGGCATATTTAACATAATTTTTGTTGTTTTTTAAGCCTGGTTAAATTTTATCCATTTATATTTGTGTGTAAGGAGTCTATCTGAAGAGTTGAGATCTCTCGATCTTCAAATAAATATCATCATGGTTTTTAAATAGTTCGTTCCCTTTATAATTATAATTATTATTGGTCTTGTTTTGGACATTGAGCTCTCTCTGGATCTATATTCATTTGTTGTTATCCTCCAGATAAACAATTATTATCAATATTTGTAGACAGTGTAACCCAGATATAAGAGAGTTGTCGGGACCGGAGAAAAGTCTCTTATATCCGGGTTTGGTCTATTTTGTTGAGGTAAGTATGGGCTCTAATTTGGGACCAGGGAAAATCTCTCTTATATCCGGGTTTCTTTTATATCCGGGTCTCTTATATCCGGGTTACACTGTATATATATTCAGAATTTTATAATTGAATTTCTTATTCTCTTTTAATTTTACTTAATTGGTTAATATTTTTAAATAGTTTACTTCACAATTTACACATTATCAAATAGTTCAAAAGCAAAATATAGTATTACATGCATTTCACTATATTAAGACCGATGATTTGTTTTTACTAGATGATTGTGCGAATCTTCCAATAATTGCTCTTATATCCAATTCCTCTGATAACTTTTGACAGAGGATAGTAAATTCTCCTCTGATAGCGAATTTCTTAAACCTGTCTTCAAGATCGTTAGTTTAGAAAATGTCCTTTCACTTTGGACTTGAGTAACTGATATTGTGGAGATATTTTTACATAGTTCTTATTCCATTTTATTATTTAAACAATTGCCGGAGTTCGTTTCTTTATTGCTTTATATTTGATATAGGGGACCCACTCCATATGCTGCCCACTTGCCATGAGGCAAGCTGACATCCTGGCCAGTCCGTCATTGACTCGGATTATATTACTTTGCAAAACTACGAATATATTTTAACGATGGAAGCATTTATTAGATATGTCGTTTTTTCTGCTCTGTGGGCATTGACCCTTAATTGTGATATAATCTCTTAAAAATACCGGTGTACGAAAATAACCGTAACATTTTTATGCGAATTTCAAATACAATAATTAATATTTTTACATTTTTTTCAAATATAATACTTAGATATTTTTACATACAGGACATTCTGTTCCACAACATTTGACCAAATGAGAGACAGTTTGGGATTTTTAAATCCTCGAATTTGGCACACATCTGGGTGATGAACTGCTATAAGTGATTTTTATATACTTTCAAGCTACTAAAATTATTTTCATTAAAAGAATATTGTAGAAAAGAAAGTGGTAAGCCTAAGTTGGATTTTAAGTTAAGTACTACATTCGTATTAAGTGTCATGGTGGAATACGGCACCCTTTCGATTGGCAACTTCCCGATGATTGCTGCCTTTCTACGGCTCAGAAGTGGAATTTTCAGAATTCAACGTCTGCTATTTTGGAGAGAGCTCAAAATACGTAATGTCCTTAGATATATGGCATCGTCTTAATCGGTTACATATAGTCCTTTCGTTTTTCCAAAATCTTTTTAATCCATACCGTTTTAAACAATCGATTCTTCATCAATTTGTGATCCTTCTCTTCAGAAAGTTGATGTTGCGAGTTTGAGAGAAGAAAACATTTTTAAGGAGACTGAACTATGTAGGCTTACGGCCACACCACGTTGAAACACCGCCTCCCGTAAGATCACCGAAGTTAAGCAACGTCGAGTCTGGTCTGTGCGTAGATGGATGACTGCTTGGGAATATCAGGTGCTTTAAGCTTCGAAGTGCGGTTGATATTGCCTTAGAATGGTTAATCGTCGAGCCGAGTTCCAATTCCAGTTTGGTTTATTATATTTACTTATACTCAAATACCCTAGGAAAAGGAATGAATTCACGTCATCTCCCCTACCTATCGCTTAATTATTAAGACTTTATCAATAAAACTGTTATTATCTCTAGAAAGAAAAGTCTTAAAATATTTCCGACTTTAAATAAATTGCAAATCGTTGATAGACGTAGAAAACGAATCAAACTTTTAATTATTTAATTTGTTTTTCTTTGTGCATCTGTAGGAAAATATCGGTCGGGTTTATACTTGAAATATTTGGTAAATATTAGTCGAGTTTCTCCCTGATTTTGTAGGTAAACATTGGTTAGCTTTCTACTATAATCTACTAGTAAACATTGGCCGGGTTTATACTCGGGTCTGCTCGTAAATATTATGTGGCTTTATACTGAATCTGCAGGGAAACATTGATCGGGTTTACATTGGATACTATCAGTAGATATTTGTCAACTATATACCTGAGTCTACTGAAAAAAAAAAAACATTGTTTTTTTCTTATACATAAGTCGATAGGTAAATATTGATCGGGTTTATACTTACGTATGCAACCAGCTTCAAGGAAGATGACACTTTTTGCATGGGTTGTAATTAATGTATTGCAGATTCTGTCGGTAGGTAAATGGTCGATTTGTGCTTTCTAAATCTTGCTAGTTTCTGACAAATACAAAACTTGCTAGACTAAAAGCATTATTTCTTTTTAACCAATAAATATCTAATTCAAACAACATATCTTGTTATTACATCAGCAGTAGTCATTACAGAAAATTAATATTTTTTCTTGTTTTTACTTTTGTATATTGTAATAAAAACAAAATTTCATTACTTTTATTCAAGGCATATTTGAATGAAGAACAAGCAGGAATTTAAAACAACCTTTTACCTGCAACTTGTTCATTTATACATTCCTACAATCCTATTTTTTTATTCATACTGTGCCTTTTATTCTTTTATTCTTCTATTCGACTATATCAATAAGAAGCCCATTTTGGTGACTAAGCATTTTAAAAATATATTTCTCTTGGCCACTTATGTGCCATGCTTATTGGCGTGTGACAATAAAAGCTAATATGATTTTATGCTGTAATGAATAGTATATAATTGGGACTGGCAGAAGGAAAAATTTCCTTTTGAAATGGAATGAATCATAGGAAACGCTTCAGCACTTTGTAATCATTTACTTCCTGAAGTCGGTACTCGTCAATTAACAGTAACGGAAGTCGGTCGTCTGACTAACAATTCCTACTGTGAATATAAACGTGAAAGCGATAGGGAAAACATTGAAATAAAGAATGTAGTTTCCACTTGAAAGACATCACACGTTTTAACAAAATACAATAAAATACGCCGGAACGTCAGCCCGAGGCTAAGTTTGCTAAAGCTAATAACCTCCAGTCAAGCCCATCCTCATTAGAATATGAAACACACGAAGGGTTTCTACACTGAAAATTACCTGCTATTGAACAAAATCAAAATGTTTATATTAGATAAATAAATTACATTATTGCAAACAAGGAAGGAAAAGTCTCGATATTGTCATGATTACGTATACGTTCAATAACGTTTTTGTATATATATATATATATATATATATATATATATATATATATATATATATATATATATATATATGTTTGTGTGTGTGTGTATAAAAAATATATAGAAAATGTAAAAGAACTCGTTAGGTAAATAATCCAAAGTTCTTTAGAGTTTTTGTTATTATTTTTAAAAAAATAGAGCTCGGTACAAAAGTAGAGCAGAAATAAAATTATTTATTTAAAAATATGATTCCAACGCTACATAAGAGTTCTCATGTTTCAAAACAAGAGCCGAAAACTTCAATATAATTATTTTAATTAAATTGAATTAAAGTACTAAGCTCTGTTCCATCTTCAAGCGAAATTTGTTTTTTGAATAACTTATTCCCTTTTCTTTAAACAGTTGCTATAGCCGTTACCATAGTCATTTTAATTTCAATAATGAATATGCTTATAAAACGCGTAAATTTCAGGAGTAAGTTATTCCCAAAAAAATTTCACTTGAAGATGGAACAGAGCTGAGTACTTTAATTCAATTTAATTCAAATAATTATACTGAAGTTTTCGGTTCTTGTTTTGAAACATGAAAACTCTTATGTAGCGTTGGAATCATATTTTTTTAAATAATAATATATATATATATATATATATATATATATATATATATATATATATATATATATATATATTTCTGAGGAACAACTCTGGTGTTTCTAGAATAGATGTAATTTCAATTATGAGAATTATTTCTCATATATATATATATATATATATATATATATATATATATATATATTCACTCAATACATTCAGGGTATTAAATAAAGGACTAAGCTTTTGCCCTAGTCCCCCAAGGTTTTATAAAGACACCTTGGCAAAGGACCTGAAATCCTTCTTCAGAAGAATACGGTTAAAAGCCCACTATGGGGAAAATGACCATACACCTTCCATACTTGAGACATTAAAAGAGAAGGACACTACCTACACCCCACAAAACACAGACATCACTATACAGACATTTGAACTAGCCGTAGCAAATGACATAAAGGAAACAATAGCGCGTAAGCTGCCAAGTGAGAATATTACTGAAGGGGAACGTATAGCCCTCGATACGCTGACACATAGAGATGACCTAATCATAACACAGGCTGACAAAGGGGGTGCGACAGTGATCTGGGGAATCGAAGAATACATTAAAGAGGCCAACAAACAGCTAGCCGACAAAGAAACCTATAAAAATATACCTACAGATCCCCTTCCAGAATACCAAAAAGAATTAACTAGCTCACTAAACATAATGCTTCGCAACAATCTAATCGATAAGGAAACATGCACAACACTTACACCCACAAACATTATACTTACTCGTTTCTATCTCCTTCCTAAAATACACAAAAGCAACTACCCAGGAAGGCCGGATATTTCATCGTTCAACTGCCACACGACAAAAATTTCCCAATACATAGACCATTACATACAACCGCTAGCTAAGGAAGTAAAATCCTACATCAGAGACACAACAGATCTACTGAACAAAATTAATCACATACAAACAGTACCAGAAAATGCTATTCTAGTGACTATGGACGTTAGGTCATTCTATTCAAACATTAAAAACATCGATGGGCTAACCGCCCTTCAGGAAGCACTTACTAAAAGAAGAAAACAGGACCCCCCCACAAAAGTCATCATAAAACTCATGGAGCATGTCCTTACATTGAATACTTTCAACTTCAATGGAGCACACTACCTTCAAATAAGAGGTTGTGCCATGGGCACCATTGCAGCTCCATCATATGCTACAATATTCATGGGAAAATTTGAGGAGACCCATATCTATCCAATCATTGGTAGCGACTGCGTATTCTATGCAAGATATATCGATGATATATTCTTTGTATACACGGGTAGTGATGACAAACTTACCCAATTTCTTATGACCCTAAACACAGTGCACGACTCAATTAAGTTTGACTATGAAAATCCACAACATCAGTAACATTTTTAGACACCCGCATTTACATAGATGAAAACAGGAAACTACAAACGACACTACACACTAAAATAACCGACACCCACAACTATCTACACTTTAAGTCTTCTCACCGTAAATACCTCAAAGAGAACCTTCCCTATTCACAAACACTTAGACTCAGGAGGATATGTTCCAACAATGATGAATTAAATAAACACATTGAAAATATGAAGCATCAAGTCACAACACGCGGCTATAAACAACACCTAATCAGGGAACAAATAAATAAAGCAATTTCCACACCTAGAGAAGACACCCTAATATACAAGTTTAAAATTAAATCTAGCCGTATACCTCTAGGAACCACTTTCAATCCCACTCTGCCTCCACTATCCCAAATAATCAAACGTCGCTGGGAAATACTACATCTCAAACCAGACGTAAAAATCTGTTTAAGGAACCCAGCCTTCTTGCATATCGTAGACCTAAGAACCTAAAAGAAATCATAGGTAGTATCCACATTTCAGGGGACAAGGTAATCCTTAATGAACTAAGAACAAAAACAACAGGATTTTCCCAACCATGTAACAACAAAAGAAGTTTATGTTGCAACCATATTAAAAACACGAATTCATCCACTAGCTCAATCACTAAATCTACTTTCAAAATCTACCACGATTCTAACTGTAGAAGTCATAACATAATTTACCTCCTCGAATGCACACTATGCCAGAAACAATATATAGGAAAATCTGAATGGCCCTTTCACTACAGAATTAATAATTATCGTAAGCGAATTAAGTCGACTCCCCATGAAAAATTATTACTTGTAGAACAACATTTCCGCCTGGAAAAAACATGATTTCAAAACCCATGCCAAATTCACTATAATTGACAGAATAGAAAAGTTCAGTGCAGATAACATTAGAAAGATTTTAGAGTCCCATGAAAATAAGTGGATACAACGTCTAAAAACAAAATATCCAGCCGGGCTAAATCATAAATTTAACAATATATAGATAGTAACAATATATAACTCAACAAATCAAAACCTAACCAAATTTCTCACCCACACAAGACAGACATGCTTACAGAGGTGTGGAGGCCTCACCCTTATACACTCACCCACACGAATATACACACTTACACACATCATACTCACTCACTCCCTAATGAGCCAAATGATAACACACACCTACAGCAATACACACGCTTACACATATCATACTCACTCACTCCCTAAGAACCAAATAACACACACACAAACACTAAACAGACACATCCCCTTACCAGGTCCAATAAAACTGTCAAACTGACCAGAGAATTCAGAGTAACATGTATCTATCCAGCTCTTATCTCAAATAACAACTTAAAAGAGACTGTTTGACCAACACAAGGAATGTTAAAAGATTCATGT